AAAACGCGTGTTGAGAAGCACCTGCACTGCGTCTATTTCCTCTACAAAGTTATGTAATCGACATTTCCTACTCCTTCGTTATTTCTTTGTATCCATCTATATTTCTAACCATAACTTCTTACATTTCTTTTTTAAATCTTTCCCATTTTTTTTCTCTCTCGTTTATCTCTAACTTTGTCCGACCATTCTAAAAATCCTCTATTTTTTTTTTTTTTTTTTTAAAGAAATTTATTAAACCCTAGAATAAAAAATAACTAGAAAATTTAATACTTATCTATGTTAAATACTACGATGTAATTTATACTAATATTTATTTTTTACTTATTTTAGATTTTTAGTTTATTATTATAACTAATCGTAGCTTACGTTATATCAGTCGAAATTTTTTTTTCAACATATTTTTTATAATACATATTAAAGAGAGACTAAAATAAATATATATATTTTTCAAACAACAAAAATGTATTTTTATATCACATTTTATAACAAATGTTCTAAATATAAATTTCCATGACTTATGATTATTCCATTACTTGTTGACAAACCGTATATTTCTGCACGTATACGCACACACATATGTATATATATATAGATGCACACGTAGTTCTCGTAGGTGTAGCAGTTCCATTCATTGATTCAAACGGAAGACCCTCGAAGAGGTCAATACAGAGAAGATGCACTCGGGCACGTGCATTTGCGGTTATAATTTAGTAGCCAGCACCATTACCACATACCATTTCTGAACAAATTAATCGTGAATAGGTGAAAACGCTTTGAGTATATTTCAAAGTGAATCCTACTTTAGTTCATTCTATAAAAAAAAAAAAAAAAAAACATAAGAAATGAGAAAGAATGTGAAAAATTAAACAAAATAAAATTAATATAAATATAATAATTTTTAAAAAACAAAGATTGACGATATAGAACAAACAAGTAGGGATGATCGTTCATTGACATAAAATATTGCTTGTCATGTTCACGTAAAAAAAAAATGAAGAAAAATGAAAAACATTTAACAATAAGTTTGGGGTACGTGCTAAAAATAGTATCTGGGTTTATAGTAGAGCAATACCCTCCATTACTATCGAACGTTGTGTCACCCTTCTTCTTGTTGAGGTTTAGATCCTTTCAAGGTTCGCTTATAAAACGATTTACGATGAAAATTACTTTTTATCTGAAACTCGTTTAATGGCAATGATTTTTTTTTTCTTTTTTTTTGTTTTCTTTGTTCAAAACTTTCAACATTTTCTTTTTTATTATTTCCGTGTACACAGATGTTTTACTTTTTTATTTGTTGGGGGAAAATAATTCTCGAATATCGACGAATCGATGACAATAATAATAATAATAATAATAGTGTGAAAAAACCAAAATAAATGAAGTGAATCTTCCTTTGACTGGTTGAGGAGAAGTTTTATCCGAGGATTTAAAATGTTTTCAATGTTTTACTTACAGACTGAGAGAAAAGTAAAATCGATTTGTAACAGCTGGTGATGGTGCATCGTGAAACTTTGAAACTCGCTTTAAAATTGTCGATGTTTCGAACCAAGAGTGTGAGAGAGAAAGAGAGAGAAAGAGAGAGAAAGAGAGAGAAAGAGAGAGTATTGGTCTCTCCATTTCCCCGTAACCCACCAAATGAGGAAATTTCTACGAAGGTAAAGTGCATATGCGTTATGAGAATATATCAATATCATAAAAATGATATGAAATGATATAACTCGTTTTATATTTTTAAAATATATTTTTTTGAAAATATTAACCATCAATTTTTTATACATTTATCGATTATATTTAACGATGTTGTTATATATGTAATAGCAAAAAAAAAAAAAAATAAAAATAACATCTGAAATTATAATTAACGTCTTATCTTTGACACGTTCGTTGTCATGTCACTTATATTTGGGTTAAGGGTATATTTCCGTAGGGGCCCCCATCACCCGGATATGGTTGACGTTCTTCTTCTTCTTTTTCTTATTCTTTTTCAAGTTAAATAGAATTTTAAATTGGAATTTAAAAAGGGAATTTAAATAGAATAAACACCGATATATATAAATATAAAAATATATATATATATATATAGACATTGTATTGTTAAAAAAACATTGTATTGTTTTATATTTTTTGGTAGAATAAAATATTGTTACATCGATCGTTCTATATATATATATATATATGTTGTGGTGTATAGAAAATCGGATTTGGGGGAAACCTCCACGAGAAATTCAATCAAATCATCCGATGACCGATATAAACGTGTTAAAATAAAATTAAATCGCGCAAACTTTTACAGGTGGATAACTTTGAATAAAACAATAATTTGTATTTATTTCGCAGTTAAAACATTAGTCGTGAAAATATATATATAAAAAAAAAAAAAAAAAACAGAAACAATATGTTGTTTACTATATTTAGAACGCACGAAATAGATGGTAATTTTTGCTACGAAGGTGAGGAATGGAATTCAATGGTATTACCATTGTTTGGATGTTCGTAGCTTACTCGTTTAAAACGGGGAGGGTTTGAACACAACACAGCATCCATAATTAACAACGTTATGTTCCTCTGGTCTAGATTAACCATAAATAATGTATACTCATCTCTGAATCCTTAAAACCCCCTTTCCCTTTCTATTCTTGCTTTTATCTTTCATTTTTGTTACGCAATTTGATCGTTTTGTTTATAATATTGGTTAATTGTGTTTGACAAATCAGGTCGGTTCATAGATGTGTGCAATTATTAATTGGCATTAGGAGCTTGAAAGTTCATTGCCATAAATACCAAATTTCATCAGTGTTCTCGTCCACTCGTGGTCTTCGTAGCCCATTTCTTTAAGATCCCGAAAAAATATTGCGTTATTAATTAATAATTCTGAAACTTGAGATTGTATGAAGAAAAACACGTGGTTTGCATATGATATTAGTTGCGTATATGGTTTGTAATGTGGTAATATCGACAGCATGGTGTATAACAGTGGTAGAGTCGATTGGTTTGGGAGCTTTATATATGGCGTGCGGTTTATCGCATATTCAACGACAACAAGGTCACATAAATATTAATTAGAATGGACATACAACTACAACGACGACGAGGGTTGAAGTCGGTTAGAAAAAAGGGAGAGAGAGAGAGAGAGAGAGAGAGACAGTTAGAGAAATTCAACAAAAAAGTAAACAACCTTATCGTGTGAATACGAGCTTTTTGAGTCAATTCTTTTTCACATTGTAGACATTTGTATATGTGTTTATTATATTTGATATGATAAGAAAAAAAAAAAAATGAATATAAAAGTAATATAAAATAGTTAGAATTAATTGTAATTTCATTCGACCTCGGTGAAGTTTTTTTTTTTTTTTTATTAAATAAAAGATCTTCTTCGCGTGATATGAAGTTACTTCTTAAACAAATAAGTAAATAAGCAAGCTATGAAGTCAGGTAGGTTAGGTAGGAAGAAAGCAAGTGAAATTAATTAACGTGAGTTTAATCAATCGGATCGATCATTTTTTCTTCTATTTTCCATCATTCAATATGAAGGTTGTGTAGTTTATAGAGTGTAGCCTTCGATAATCTTCTCAGTGCTTCCTGTCAGATTATGTTAAAATGACTTCTTCAAACTTAATAATAAAAAATTAAAAAAAACAAGGATTAAGTTTGAACGTGTGTTTATTTATCGTGTGTGTAAAACTCGAGCTACAGGTATTTTATTGGTGTGTTGGAATTCCTCGTGTATTCACCCTATTACCACCCTATCTTTCTCTTTCTCTCTCTCTCCCTCTTGTTGTACTCTTACGAAAGATTTCCGTTTACATATGGTGGAAACATTTGCTAAGTACATGGGCACTGTCTGCTGTACTGAAGGTGTACACGGTTGGCGTTACTATGGGAACGAAATACGACGAAACGAATAACAGGAGAATGTGTGAAGAAACTGCTGGTTGTGGAGGAGGAGGAGGTAAAGGGTATCTCTATGGGTGTAGATGGTGGAGGAGGAGGGGAATGGGTTAGGGAACAAATGCAATTGAAAGCACGAAGCAATTCACGAGTGTGTCCGCAAATGCAATCCTGTCCCTCTGTTTTTTTTTTGTTTTTCTTTAACTTTCTTTCATTCACTGTTTTTTATTTATTTTTTTTTTTTTATAAGTCATATGTGTTACTTGAAAGAGAAATAGGAAGGGGTGGAACAGGGGGAGGGAAAGGGGTTGTAATATGCGGGATCGCTCTTCAGATCTGTAAATAAAACTTGATGAAAATGTGAGAGCTTTTGTGAAAAACAAAATAATAATATATGTAGGTGTTTAATGTTTTTTTTCTTTCTTTTTTTTTTTCTTTTTCATTTTTTTACATCGAAACCTTGACAAGAATTCATGCGTCAAAATTTAAAAAATCGTCGTCAAATTATTAAAACTCAAAACTCTACGTTCTGTCGAGTTATTTTTTTTTTTCGTCTTTCAATGTCGAGAGTGAAACATAAAAAAAATAATCCGTTAACAAGTTTTATCGTTTATTATTAAACTTTTAATTTCCTATATGTTTAATATATTTTTTCTTTTTCTTTTTTTTTTTCAAAAGAAAGCAGCAACAAAATTGCCGATCTTAGAATAAATCTTCTACGAGAAATAATACGTGGTTATTATTTAAAAGTTAGAAAGTGGTAAGTTTGTTTATTAATGAAAAATAACTTTAATGTCTCGTTGAAATGAAACTCGTATAAAGACGAAAAATTTGCTGTGGGGCTAGAAAACAAAATGAAACAAACAAAAAGTTATTAAAACGAATCCAATCGTTTCGTATATATAAACATTTATATTTGATATATTTTCATAACCTACGGGCCAGTTCCTTTGAAACAACATAGGGCCATATTATATCTTTGTTTAAACAATGCATCATGTACAACGTATATATATAACCTCAGGAGAATAGAAGGTAAAGTTTGTCAAAAAAAAAAAAAAAAAGAAAAAAAAGTAAAATAAAATAAAAACCATTTAACAAATCTTACTTACCGTCGAATAAAAACTCGTTCCACACATTGTAAAAAGGGAATCGTTGAGCACACGTAAATTAAAGCACAATTAATTAATAAATAAAATTCATTGGTCTGTCGTTTTAAAAAATGAAATCAAAATTAAAATCAATTTTATATCAAACAAACACAATACTTTTCTTTTCTTTGACGTATATTAAGTTCATTTTTACCCCAAACCCCCCACTGTTTTCACTCTGTAAAAAAATAATAACCAAAGGGATATAAAAATGTAAAAATTAATAATTTATAATTAAAAAAATTAAATCTGCCTCGTTAGATTCTCGACTAGGAAAAAAATGAATTTAAACCAAATTAAAAAAAAAAAAAAAAAATAAGTCGGTCAGACAGATAAGAGAGAAAAACACACACATGCACACCGCTTTGAACAAGAATTTCGATTATGAGGAAGGATCATTAATTATATCAAAGTTCCAAAACCAATTAGAACTCATTATATATAACAAAAAAAATATTAAATAACCTTCATTAGATTCTCGATTAGGAAAAAAATGAATTTAAACCAAATTAAAAAAAAAAAAAATAAGTCGGTCAGACAGATAAGAGAAAAAAACACACACACAAAAATTTCGATTATGAGGAAGGCTCGTTGGTTTTGGTGATGGTGGTGGTGGTGGTGGGTGATTCGCGTCGGGAGGCCGCGTGTCGACTGAAGGCAAGCATCGTATCGTAGGATAGTCGAGAAATAGAGTGAGAGAGACAGAGAGAGAGAGAGAGAGAGAGAGAGAGAGAATGAAGCGAGTACGGACGAGGAAGGACGAGGAAGGACGAGAACGAAAGAGGGGAAAGAGGGTTGGTTGAGGTATAACGAGAGGGTGGGGCGAGAGGTTGAAAGAGGAAGAAGAAGAAGAGGAGGAGGAGGAGGAGGAGAAGGGGGTGGTTAATAGAAGAACTCAGACTACGAGGGCGTATCGGAGGGTACATCTGGCAAGAATTCTCTTCGTATTGGTGTGATGGTGTTGTGTAGATGTAGTAAGGGGGGTGGTTACCCCATGGAAGAAGAGAAAGAAGAACCTGGCGCGAATCCGTAGCCCCACGTGGTGCGCAATCGTCGGAATCGGTTCGACGCACGGAGTCGAGTCAAGTCCTGGCTCTGCTAGCATCAGTTGAAATTGTGAGAAGGAACCATTCGGTTGCAACCGAGTCGACGGACTATGCAAGAGAGAGAGAGAGAGAGATGGGTCTTCGATCGATCCAAATTTACCCTCCCCCAACGGTTGCTGCTGCTACTGCTGCTGCTGCTGCTGCTGCTGCTGCTACTGCGTGAGGGTGGGTTAGACAGAAAGAGGGGGATGAAAAGGGAGAAAGAGAGAGAGAAAGAGAGAGATGTGGTCTGCAGGATATGCGGATAAAAGCGTGTAGAGTGCGCTAGAGAAAGAGAKAGATAGATGGGGGGTAAGGGGGTAAGGGAAATGAGAAGGGGTCAAAGAGTGAAGTTCAGGGAGAAAAGAGAGTGACTGACTGAGATGAAATCTGAAGTAGATGAAAGAATCTCGATCGTAAATCGTAGATCTTGTCCGGTGGTATCGATTTTTTTTTGTTCTTCCATCGGTTACTTCGTTTCAAGGTCGGGGTAGGATGAGAGGGAAGTTTTCGCAGTGGGGTACGCATTCTTTTTCTACCTAGCTATTTTTTCTGCAATTTTTTTCTCTATTTCTCGTTCCTGTCATGGTTGATATCACGAGAGTAGAATATGGGATAGATGAGATAGGTGTAATCATAGTAATTATGATGTATTCGGTGATATGTATTCATAACCGGGGTGTATACATTGATATAGTGATTAGTTTTGTATATGAATGATTGTGTATATGTATGATTATATTTTGATATGAAGAGATAGGTATATATTTCATTTAATTAATGATTAATTGTTTGTATAATAGGATGTATCGTTGTTATATAATAATTTGCATTACATAGACGTGTGGACGATACTTAGAAATTTGGATCGCGGCTATAATTGGTGGAAAGAGAGAGAGAAAGAGAGAGAGAGAGAGAGAAAAAAATATTGGAAAATAAATATTACGAGTCGTTGCTTTTCTTCTTATCATCTTCGTCTTCGGAATCATCGTCATCGTCGAGAGAAACGTCGGAGATATCGTCCGGTGATTTTTCGATATTTGTTTTGTCAACGCCTGGTGATTTCGAGCGTGAATTTCTTGAATCGTTGTTGTTATCCGTAGTATGCTCGTTACGAGAATTTTTCTTTGTAATATTTTCTTCTTGCTCGTAATCATCTTCATCGTCTCCCATTTTCTCGGAATTATTTGAACTGTAAAAATGTATGCGAAACTTTTGATCATTTTATGTTGTTATTATTATTTTTCTGACGGTATATTCGATGTTATTATGTATCTCGTATGCATCGGCAATTATGCTAATAAGTTAAGTCGTAAAATGGAAAACATTTATTAAACATTTGATATGTAAAATAAATCAAAGTGTTGTTGATTCAATCTACATATATGAAACATATAATATATATGATATGTTTAATTAAAACGGTAACATAAGTATCACGTTAAAATATGACACTGGACTAAATTCAAATTATTACGATTTATTTCATATAATAAATATTTGTATTATATATATCATACTTTAATTTAACATATCACATTACGCAGTATTTAAATAAAATATTTAGTTGGAACAGATGACAATAATATGTGTAAACTATTTGTTTGAAAACAGATATTGTGATGGATAAGAAATGAAAAAGTTAATATTAGAAATACCAACCTTCTACGACTACGGCTACGTTTTCTGCTAGATCTACGTCGTTTATTTTTCGATCGGCTTCTTGATCTTCTACGACTACTACGTCTCTTACTTCTAGATCGTCGTCTACGTTTCGCATCTTGTACAGGATATTCTTCGAATTTCGGATTCATTCGATTTTTCCTTCCAACATCATTCTTTTCTCTATCACGTAAATTCCAAGAATCCTCGTCGTATCCTATTCTCCTGTAATTTCTCGTTAAACTAGTTGCCGATTTTCTTCTCTTTTGTTTTCTTAAAAGATCGGAGGATACATGAAGAATCCTATAAGTTTTATCCGTTGGTACGAGATAACCAGATTGGATTCCAAAATCTAGGGCTTTCATCATTTGCATTTTTCTTAAAGCTGAGAATTTACAAACACAAGTTTACAAATATATAAATTCATTGAATTTCATTTAATAATGAAAAGTCGACAAAAGATAACAGAAAGTTGTCCTTTTTTATGCAAATGATAATTTATAAAACTTCAACTATAATGATTGAATAATTAGTTTAACGAGAAGAAATAAAACGGATAGAAAAGAAAAAGAAAAAGAAAAAGAAAAAGAAAAAGAAAAAAAGATTTGCCAAAGTTTTTTTCAATTTGTTTAGTTTAGTTTCTTTCGTGGAAGCGGGCCCAATTGTGTTAAGCGAAAATTAATAGCAGTAAGATCGATGTTTTACTGGCGAGAAGAAAGTTACTGGCAAGTAGAGAAAGTTACTATGAAGGAAACTCACCTTCGCTACCCAAGCAGCATCTGTTGTGTACACAGGACGACAAGCAAGAATGTTTCTTTGAGGTACGACGACAACGTTGTTTGACAGTGTGCAACTTGGAACGACGACCATTGCTCCTTTTTCTGTTCTTTCTGTATCCCATTTTTCTTGAACAGACACGAATGACCCCGACGATAACCTTCGCGACCTCTTCCGTAAGTTCCTTTCCTTCCTTTTCTTTTTTCTTTCTTTTCTTTTCTTTTCTTTTCTTTTTCTGTTCTTTTTCTGTTCGTTTACCTTGACGAAAGCTCGTTTCTCTTAACTCTCCTTTCTTTCTTTTTCTTCCCGTTTATTTTACGATGAAATAACAGAAGATGAAAATTCCCCCTTTTTTTTTAGGCGACGTTTCTTTCCTACCTACGGAATTATTATTATTATTATTTTATTTATTCTTTTCTTTTGCTGCTGCATGTTAGACGAATGTATGAATCAATAGCCAAGTTGAATCTGAATCTGTTGAAATGTGTATTTAATATTACTAACGTAGAAAATCTTTAAAATAGAAACAATAGAAAATAATGCAAATCATTTGAATAAATGAAAATAATAAAAATATTCTTAGGAGAAATTAGTATGAATTTTAACAGAAAATAATATGAACGTAGAAGACAAATGTTGTTTTAAATATTGTTGATAAATCGTTGATAAATTAAAGAGAATAATTAATTATGTCATTTATTTATTTCTTACTTTTGTATTATTCATTTTATTTCCTAAATTATTATCGAATAAAAGGGTATATTGTGAAATTAGATTTAAAGCCGTGCACACACACACACACACACACA